CCCCCCCGCCAGCCTGCCTGTGCCTGCGCACTGTGGGCCTCCAGCCCCGCCCCGCCCATCAGCCCTCCTGCTCTGAGCCTGGCTGGCCAGCCCTGCCCCTCTGCTGTTTCTCTGCTGCGTGGTTTTTGCTTTTTGTCCACTAGTGTCTAATATAAGGATAATCAATAAGAAACTTAACAACAATAGTAATTATAACTGGCATTCATAAGCACGTTTAATAAGTGCTGTGCGGTATTAAATAACATAGTCCTATGTTTGAAATTCCCGATAGTAGATTATGATGGGAACTTCTAAACTGACATTGCTTGTGCCTTAAGGTAGTTTAACCCAATGCTTTTATTACAATTAAAGAACAAAAATTTTTAAATGTCTTCACATTCAGCTTTTCAGGGGGACACCAGTGGACCTACTGGAATCAGATACTTTGGTGAATACAAAACATGGGGTAAAATGAACTGTATTTCTAGGAGTTTTAAGCTGTGGACTGGTGCTTCTGGCTTGGCCTCTGAGGGAGGATGAGAAGTCTTTGTGCCTGCGAGGCTGTTTTTTCCTTGGCAGCTCTAGGAATTAGCGCTGGCTGGCCTGGCTAACCTGGCTACGTATAATAAATTGTACGTGGCCCTCAGTGGGCGTTCGTTAGCTGTGTTAAATGACCAGAGTCCCTTGGTTTATTTGTTATGTTGCTTAGTGTCTGCAGGTCTTTTTCGTTTTCTTCTTCCTGTTTCATATGATACTTTGATGTCCTGGATTGTGTTGCTGCCTTATCTCACTCACATCTAAAAGTTTCTGTTAAAAAAAAAAGTATGTATTTTGAACTGCAATAATGTAAGCTGTAATTATAAAACCAATATTAATTTAAATTATTCCAAGTAATTAGCTTTTTTCATAAAAGGCTGATTATTTAAGTTATTCCAAATAATTAGCTTTTTTCATAAAAAGCTAATTATTTGTTATTCCAGGTAATTAGCTTTTTTCATAAAAAGCTACTTAAATTTTGGGCAAGTAGGTTATTAATGGTACATATTGGCATTTAAAATTTGTATGAGGTAACCTGGTTACATTATAAAATACAGATTGTTTTAGCTGGCATAATTAAACATCTGTATAATTTAGATGTACCATATAAAAATATTACTAACTGAATGAAGAAATTTTAAAACCTGGCTCTACATATTAAAAACTATGAGGCAAGATTTTGTTACGGGGAGAAATGGGGTCTTTAGCTCTCATAACTACCACTCTGCTAATTGTTCCCCTTCCAAAATATACAATCTATGGAAAATAATGTACTTATAATTACAGCTTTAATTAAGCCTGCTTCCTCTTTGGGAATTTTGTATTTGCATATTCAAGAGGTTCAAAATATTGGTAAAAATGCATATCAATAGAATTTGCACTTTATAATACTCAAAAAATTTGAACATTTGAAAATTTCAAACAACTAATTGTTGCTTAATAGTGTTTCATTCTCTAATGAGACGTTTATATATGGTGTTTTTTGGCTACTGTTACTCCTTGGTGTGTTTGGGGAATAAAAGTTTTTAGAAGTCATTGTGAAGAGTCAATAATTAATCAAATTCTAAACAGACTAAAAATGAAACGTTTGTCTTATGTAAAGATGACATCTGCCCCAGGCCGTTTATGCAGTGTGACCTCTCCTCAGGAATGGGACCTCTTGACCCCACCTTTCTAACCCAGTCCCTATAAGGGAGAATTTAAGGAGCCAGAGTTTTATAAATGGAATTAACTCAAAGTGCTCTTTTGATCCCATTAACTCGTCCTGCCCCTGCTGTTGTTTAAACATTTTTATACTTACACCCACTGTTAACCCACTGCCCCATATCCACTTACTTTTAAAGTGTTTCAACTACTGTATTCTGCTTTGAACTTGAGTCCCATCCTAAAATTGCAAATTGTTTGATATTGGTAAAGGTCAGAGGTCTTAAACTGGTGACCTGGAAGGCCACATAAGGCCTTGAATTTGTGTAAGCAGCACTGTTTTAAAATTAAAAAAACAAAACAAAACTGAATGTCTTCGGGTAGGAGGGGCATACATACTCATGTTATATACTTCAGCCCCACCCTATATTTTAACTTCAACTTCTTCTCACTTTTAAATTACCTTCCTCTATAATAAAGGTATTTGAATTTTAACCCCTGTTGACTTTTTTATTTCCCTAAACAATATATTGATTGCTTGCTGATGTCTTAATGTAATTTCTGTCCCATCCTTGTTTTTTATAGATGTTGCTAAAGCCCACCCGGTGTCTGTGATTGTCAAGGAGGCTGTTAGCCTTCCTGATCTCCATCAGGCTGCATGGGGCCATGCTGTGAATGCTCTTTAAGAACTCTTGTCTCTGTTTTGAAAGTGTTAAAGTCTAGATGACAGAAGTGGCACATTAGTCACCTGAACTATGCTTATGAGTTCTTTAGTGGGACACTAAAACTCTTAATTTGATAAATAAAATTTACATTATGCTGTAAGTTTATATTGCTATGGTCACCAATACAGTATCTTTAAAGAGTTGGAGATGAGACTGTCACAGATTATGATGTGTTTATTGTGTCTCCTGATTTTTTTTTAAGGTTGAATATTTTTATCTTGAATGTCAATTATTTATTGTTTTCATACCATAATTTACTAAAACAATTAAGTAGGAGGTTTAAAACTATTAAAATGGCATACTAATCCTTGACCTTTAAGGAACTGGCTTGCTGTATGGCCACCTCATAGGGGTCCTCCAGGGGACCATAGCAACAGAGGGAAAATTGCTACAGGTGCTGAGCAGGGAGAGGGGAGGGGTCAAGGAGCAGGAGGAGTATTGAGAAAGGCTGATAAGCACAGTCATCATTTTTTTTTCTTAAATTCTTTTATTGGTACGTTGTAGGTATACAACACAATTACATTTCTCATTGGGAATTGTACCTTTACATAATGCATCTTGGTTCTTATTTTTTCCCC